ATGTATTTATATAATAGAGGGAATATATATATATATATATATATATATATATATATATATATATATATATATATATATATATATATATATATATATATATATATATATATATATATATATATATTACTCCGATCAATCATATAACGGCTTGTTGATAGAAATTCAGAGGCCTGTGGATGGAGGAAATGCGGAGGGTGTCAAAGACGTCTTGTGTAGCGTATAAAAGAACGAAGACATACAAAACAAAGTAAAGTCAAGGATTTTTTTTTATGCATACCGTTTTGATAAAGCGAAAAGAAGCCCAGCAAAGTACGTAGGTATTATTTGTTTAAACTTTGCGAGGTACACAAACTCGATTAAGTAGGCCTACTAGAGAGTTATCTCCCATGCAGGGTCAATGATGCGTTTGAAAACTATATTTAGAATGAATGTGTCAAGATTTCAATTTTTAAATAAAAAGTGCAAGGGCAAGGCGACAACCCGAGAGGTGGGTTTTTATTTTAAATTCTTTATTTTACTGTATAGTTTTTAAAAAGTGATGCTCATTTCTTTGTAATTCATTAGGTAATTTATAATTTCCGATGAAATTATGAAAATACCCTATTTTTTGAATACTGGTGTTTGTTTTCAATGATTAACTTAAATATCTCAGAAATCTAACTGAATGAGCATCAGTTTTGAGATAGGATAGATATCAACGGACACACTGAAACATTTTGCAGTTTATTTTTTGCTTGCCTTGCCCTTGCACTTTTAGGTTAAATTTGACATTTCATATTTTGGCCTAAAATCGGATCCCACGTGACTGTAGAGGGTCACATGATGACAAAAAATATCGATATGAAAAGCGATGAACATACTCTTCAAAATGCCATTAAGATATTTCAAATAGAGTTTCATGCTAAAAGATAAAAGGGCTGAACTTTAAGTGTCTCGTTTTTGGTGCCTTTTGATAGAAAATGTTGCCTTAACTGTACTGCGAAAAGCAAAGTGTGATGGAAGGACAGACGAACATGACAAACACTATATGCCCCGGCCATATTCATGGCGGGGCATAAAAATTACCTACAATGCACATGATACAGCCATTTTATCATTCAATTAATGAATGAAGCATTTAATCTTAAAGCAAAAACAAATCATGTTAGATAGAGACATTTGCATGCATAAAAAAAAAGAATTTTTCATTTTTAGGTCACCTGAATCACTCAGGTGACCTATTGCTATCCGTTTTTGTCTGTCGTCGTGCGTTAACTTTTGAACATTTTCAGCTTCTTCTCTAAAACCGCTTAACCAATTTCAACCAAATTTGGCATATAGCATCTATGGGTGAAGGGGAACAAAAATTGTGAATTTCATGGTCCCTGCCCCCTGGGGCCTGAGGGTGGGGCTAAAACCACCAAAATTAATGCAATCTTTAAAAATCTTCTTCTTTACTCCTGGACATTAAGCAATCACACTGTTGGCATCATTGTAATAACCATTGAGCCCTCTACCAAAATTGTGAAATTCTTGGCCCCAGGGTCAGGGGTTCTGGTGCTAGGGTGGGGCTATATAGATCACATAGTGAAAGTGCATTATTTCTTTGAAAATCTTCTTCTCTGCTCCTGGGTATCAAATAAACTAACTATGTACATAGTTATGAAGAGCAAGAATGCCTCTTCCAAAATTGTGAATTTCATGGCCCCAGGGTCAGGGGTTCTGGTGTTAGGGCGGGGCTCTATTGATTATATAGTGAAAATGCATTAATTCTTTGAAAATCTTCTTCTCTGCTCCTGGGTATCAAATAAACTAACTATGTACATAGTTATGAAGAGCAAGAATGCCTCTTCCAAAATTGTGAATTTCATGGCCCCAGGGTCAGGGGTTCTGGTGTTAGGGCGGGGCTCTATTGATTATATAGTGAAAATGCATTAATTCTTTGAAAATCTTCTTCTCTGTTCCTGGGTATTAAAAAAAACAAACCAAGTATAAAGTTATGATAAGCAAGAGTGCCTCTTCCAAAATTTTGAATTTCATGGCCCCAGGGTCAGGGGTTCTGGTGTTGGGGGGAGGGGGGGGGGCTCTATTGACTATATAGTGAAAATGCATTAATTCTTTGAAAATCTTCTTCTCTGCTCCTTGGTATTAAATAAAGTAACTAAGTACATAGTTATGATGAGCAAGAGTGCCTCTTCCGAAATTGTGAATTTCATGGCCCCAGGGTCAGGGGTTCTGGTGTAAGGGGGGGGGAGAGGGGGGGGCTCTTTTGACTATATAGTGAAAATGCATTAATTCTTTGAAAATCTTCTTCTCTGCTCCTGGATATTAAATAAACTAACTAAGAACATAGATATGATGAGCATGGCTGCCTTTTAAGAAATTGTGAATTTCATGGCCCCTGGGTCAGGGGTTCAGGTGTTGGGGGGGGGGGGGCTCTCTTGATTATTTGCATTAATTCTTTGAAAATCTTCTTCTCTACTCCTGGGTATTAAATAAACTAACTTAGTGCATAGTTATGATGAGCATGGTTGCCTCTTCCAAAATTGTGAATTTCATGGCCCCTGGGTCAGGGGTTCTGGTGTCAGGGTGGGGCTCAATTGATATATATATAGTGAAAATGCATTATTTCTTTGAAAATCTTCTCTCTCCTGGATGTTAAATAAACTAAGTACATAGTTATGATGAGTATGGCTGCCTCCTCAGAAATTGTGAATTTTGTGGCCCCTGGATGAAGGATTCTGGTGTGTTAGGTCGGGGCTCTATTGATATATAAGGAAAATGCATAAATTCTTTCGAAATCTCCTTCTCTGCTCCTTGGTATTGTTCAAACAAAGGAAGTGCATGGTTATGATAAGGAAGAATGCCTCTTCCAAAATTGTGCAATTCATTGCCCCTGGGTCAGGGGTTCTTCTGAGGGGGGGGGGGGGGGCTCTATAGATTTTATAGTGAAAATGCATAATTTCTTTCAAAATATTTTTTCTACTACTGGTAATAAAGCAAAGAAACAAGTGTATAGTTATGATGAGCAAAGTGCTTCTTCCAGAATTATTAGTTCATGGCCCCTGGGTAAGATTTTCTGGTGTAAAGGGGGAGGGGGGCTTTATTTATTTAATAACATAGTGAACATGCATTTCTTTGAAAATCATGTATTCTTCTGGGCATATTCGAGGCAAACAGAGTAAAAGTTTTAATATGCAAGGGTATTTTTTACCAGAATTTTGAACACCTGTATTATTTAGTCAAGTATTCTGGTCCTGGCCAGGGCTCTATGAACTTGTATTCTGCTGAGCAAAGTTATTCCCCTTTGCCATTCACCTTTGATAATTAATCACTGTAAATAATGTATTTGAAAGGTTAATAGAATAAGAGAATTATGCAAGAATATTTATTGTATAATACAAAAAGTACTTTCATAATTTTAATGATCAAGTAGACTTGGAAATAATAGATGAATAAAAGTGAGGCAAAAATAACTTATTTTTTTAATGTTCTTCAAAGGCCAAGAGAGACCAAAGTGAGAAGTCATAATATGGGGTTAAAAATAGACATTTTGTTAATAGTCTGCATGGTAATAGTGATAAATGGGGGACAGATAGATTCTATACAAATTATTTTGTTGATGCTTATCATACTATTTTTCTTGCTTTTGGGCAACAAAGCTTCATTTATCAGTGTATGGATCCTCTAAATTGTTTTATTGTACTCAGGTGACCATTAAGGCCCTTGGGCCTCTTGTTAAAAATGTTATTCTTTTTTTTTTCAGGTTCTACAAGTCTGGTTCAAATTGGAGGTACATTGGAGAGCGTAATGACATTGTCAGTATGCGCCATACTTACCCGAGGTCCATCCGAAACCTGAGAGAGTTGGGTCGTCCTATTGTATACTTGGACGAGACTTGGTTGAACACCAATCATGTAGCAAGGGGAGATTGGGTGGACTGTCCTAGAACATCTACCTCTGCCTTTGAGTCGCATCGTGGAGGTCATGGGCGCTATATATAAAATATAAGAAGAATTTCAATTTTTGGCTGAACTCTTAAGTCCTAAACTTTTTAGATATATTCTTAAGTTATTATTATGATTATTGTAAACAAAATCAGGAAATGCACAATATTAACTTTACTGCAAATTTAAAAGGATTCTTTATACACATTTAAGTAACTACATGTAGTTCATGCTGTGTAACTACATATTATATGTATGTTGTTTTATTTAATTGTGAAATAAATTATTTGCTGTTATTCCATACCATGTTTTGTTGTTTTTTTTTTCAATTATATGAAATTTTATTATCGAAATCCTTAGACAATATGCTATACATTACTCGGTAATGTGGTGCCCAGTGATTGACATGTTACAAAACAAAGGGTCGAATTAGCAAAGAATCAATGTCCCTTTCAAACAAGGAAAAATTTAACCGTGAGACCTATAGCTATCACCGTCCAAGGTTTTCTGTATCAGGTCAATAAATTATTACTGTCCTATGTGATATTAATACCATTAAAAGACAATTACAGCGAGGACATGAGGGATGAAACATTATTACAATTGAGTATCTGATGAAATTCTGGCACGTCTATTCCATTTACATGTGTCTATGTGTTCCCAAATTATATATATATATATATATATATATATATATATATATATATATATATATATATATATATATATATATATATATATATATATATATATATATATAGTTATACAAGAGGCGTGTTATGGGATATTTGGCGTATCTCAGACTCACGTTGTGGGATCCTTAGGTGGTTTATGGGTCATCTATATTTTGACCCATAAACCATGTAATCTAAACTTCACAGAAATGTTGGAAATGCTATTCCTACCATAAAAAACAAAAAAAATAATTTTTTTGACCCATAAGGATATATAGAAAAATGTCCCACAACGCAAAATCTATTTTTAGAACAGTCGGTCTAAGTCCCTCGCTTTCAACATTTTGTGTATCTATAAATGTCAATTGGAATATCCCACAATACGGTGTAGCGATACACGCAATGCATTGTGGGAGGACAATGGCGGCGTTTAGCAGGGGTAAAGAGCTGTAAGACAGTAAGTATCTTGTTATTATTAGTAGAGCAATTGAATATAACACATATTTATGATAATTAGACGAGAGAACGAGGGACTTTCGAACTTGTTTGATCGTAAGCACAGTTTAAGGTTGGTCGCGGGTTTACTGCATAAAAATTCTTACGGGAAAACATGTTCAGAAAAATTTGATATAATGTTCCTTAGAATTTGCGGCATATTATCTGAAATTTTTATTAAATTTGCCTACGTGAAGATAAGTAGCATATCTTCTCTAGTATTATGAAATTCATAATTCTGCCCACAAAGTCAGAATGAACGGTATATTGATATAAACATTCTTCGTGCATTAGAATTAATATGCAGTAACTAGTGATGGGAATCGGTAAGAATTTCATAATCGATGATCTGGCTACTGTAACTAACTAATTATCAATTATAATCGGACATTTACAAAGTCTGTCAATTTAGTTTATCAAATGGTAAGAATGGATGAATAACTACTTTCTGTGGTGGTCCAGCTGTAGTTAGAATAATCTAACTGTGTTTCGGGACAAGCCCTAGTCCTTAGGACAATATTTTAATGATAGAACGTTCGATCTAGTCCAGCTGGTTCTTCATTCATTTTGTAGAATCTAAAGTATGTCCATACCCGGGAATTAGCGTTGTTACCCGGGTATGAATACAATGTCTGTTCGTCTACGCCATTACGATACACAAATAAGTTAATAGAAAAGTTGCGGCTGGAATATTTGGCTTGAAAACTATTACGCTTGTAAAATAAAATAGATAACCCGATTAATCGGAATAGAAATTTTGTAATCGAGCGCTTGGATTATGCCAACAATTGACTGATTTTCGATTATAATCGATGATTGGAACACCACTAGCAGTAACACTGCGATAGATAATATAATACAAGTAATGTTAGGATGTTCAAGTTCATTATTAAGAATTCAAGTATAACACGGTAAAGGAAAAAAAAGAAGTCCACCATTGAAGGGGGGTGGGGGTTATCGGTAATGTTCTTTTTAAGTCAATCGCAATTCAGTATATAGTCAGAACTCTCAAACATTTGTTCTTTATTGTTTTTTTTTTTCATTATTAATTTTTCATCATTAAAAAATGTAAAATACTTGCATTCAGCTTAAACACAGATAGCTTAATTTTGTTATAGAAAAAATTGTACTTGAAGTCTTGATACTTGTATTTCGTAATACATGTACAGTATATTAATATCTGTTTAGAGTGCCATAAAGGTCCGATATGCTGGGTGTTTGTATGAATTCATTTTAAGGGGATGAAGGACACATGGTCACATGACTCTGTTTAACTACATCATAGTCTCCGTTTATATAAGTGCAATATGTGTAAAGCATTAATTCTTGTATAATTTTTTGACAATTTTTAACTTTAATTACCATCTTATATAAAAAAATTAAAAAGTTTTTACGTTCTTGTAAACATTAACAAATTATGAAAAAGATTGATCCACTCCTCTGTTTCCCTAAACTGCGTGTCCAACAAGTCGGTGACGTTATACATGATCTGTTAGTACAGCAAGATCATACTCGGTGAACACAGGGGTGGTATTACAGTGGTTCCCGTTTTATCGAATAGTCAAGTTGTCAGCATAGTTTTATCCGAATAGCCGAAAATTAGAATAGCCGATTGCTCCATACCGAGTCCAAAGATAGATGTATAGAGCTACATGTATTGATAATACATCGTAGCTAAATTTAGCTAGCAAATTTCAAGCTTGCACTTTTGTTTTCTTTTGACATGTTTACTTAATGACTTTACTAAAAATAAATTATTTCACTTACTTATGAATTTAATATGAAATTTTTTATCAAATAAATTGACGTATAGAGTATATTCTTTGATAGTTATTGCCATCTTTCTTCAGCACATGTTTACATTCCTTCTTCGATGGTCGCCATTTTGGAAAAGGAAGTAGACTAAATGCTTGACTAATAACCGTAAACTATTTTTCTTTTTTGTGAAAGACACAAACTCTAATTTCATCTTTATAGCTTTCCCTTTTCTCGGATTCATTATTTTATTTTCAATTTTCAATGTTGATTCAATTTGTGTTTTAATGCAGTGCTTCCTGCAGTCAGGATTTGTAGCATGCCTGATATACATAAACAGCAAGCATTGGGTAAAAATTGTACACCACTAATTCATCGAAAGATGCACAATGTTATAAATTAATAAGTAAAGAGATTTAACAACAGTTCTTTTACCATGTAAAATATAAAAGTATTAAATTATTTTTTCACAATTATTTTGTTTATAATTATGTGTTAAAAATACGAAATGGTCATTCTTGTTCAATCTCATTTTACCCATGGCCAAAATTGGGATAGAGAATTCGGTCTGTTTCAATTCGGATCGGGGTAGACCAATTCAATTTGAGATAGATTCGGACCATCGGACAGGCGTTAATACTTTCGCACACTGTACAGACGCCTCGTATGGACTAGATTCTATTGCTAATTAAAGTAATTTTCAGAGAAATAAGCAGGAAGCAATGCAACATCGCCTTTGTGATGTAACTCACGTCATAATCAAATGTGCACAAAACAACCACTCGAATTGTCTAAATTGTGTACCGAAATTGATGACAAAAGCAAACCAGCGACCTACCTTACAAATGACGGATGCTTCAGCCTGAAGCAGCTGTGAAGCATAATTACCAGCTTGTCAACCTCAAAAAAGCACATGCACCGATTCTGAATGCAGATGGCATACTTGGGGTGTTAGTTTTATGTTTATAGTTTCCATACATGTTTAGGCCAAACAAAAAAATATGTTTGTTTACTGTTACATGCCGAAATAAAATAGGGCCGATAGGTAGGATTTTTTTTATTTTATTGAATTTTTTTATACACAAATTCAAATGAATTGGTTGAAAAACAAGACAGTTTTACCATTGTGTGGTGCTTTACTTTTGTTTGGGATTGCCATATGGCAATATCTTTCTTGCCAACTGCCTTACAGCTACCACACAATGAAAAAAACTGTCTTGTATTTCTTCTTTAATTCCATGTTGCACTAATTATTTCTAGTACTTTCGATTTCAAACGCTTGACTGATTAAGATGCATGTAAAAGTTAAACCGACGAATGAGTGACTTCTGGATTTTTACGACGAAAAAAAATTTGGGTTGCGTATTAGATATAGGGTCAGTCGGGTAACTGTAAACAAACATATTTTTTTATTATGCCTTACCTCTGATGAAAGAAAGGAGGGAGAACATAATATAGGGCCTACTACAGAAGCATTAGGAAAAACCTCAGTTATAAAACATTTTTTTGCATTTGTTTGAGATTGGCATGATTCAATTCCCACTACGGTTATTTCTAGATATTTGTGGCTTTTCCACATTGCATCTTTTGCCATTTGCTCAATTGTTAAGAGAAGTGTTGCACAACTTTTCATACAAACAGGGTTTTCTAAACATTTTGATCGTGATCATAAAAATTTTTATGACCAGGACCTGGGAAGGGGCCATATCATGTGCTATATGTGCATACTGCCGAAAAATGGCCCAATGCATTGATGCACTGATGCCATGCAGCACAACACACATTGTTTTCTACTTTGTAAAGTTCATATCAGTCTGCTCTATCGGTACAGTATTCATCGTCGAAGGTAGATGGAATCTGTAATGTATCATATTAAAAAATTGGAACCGACATTCAACATATTTTACATCCATTGGCAAAGAAATGTTAAGTCATTTTGGATGGCTTACCACAGATTTACGAAAAAAATTTTTACCTTACAATGAAAAACCACATCATCGAAGTTTTTTATCTTTGCCTGTCCCTTGATCTCTAAATGGACAATTTAAAAAAAGTGTGTGTTTGGTTTAAATGTAATTTTCCTAAATACTTGCTGTGGTAGATGACGAATGATTTATGAATTTCTTAGAAACAGAAAAATCACTTTTGCTAGTCAATGTCGAATGATTTGTCAATTCCTATGGCATTCTTTAGCAACTTAAATTTAGGTGTCAAAGATACATGTATATGCATTATTATTAGCACAAAACTATGACATATTTTAGAATGACCTGAATATATATCCTCTAGACCCCTTAAATTTCAAAATGACCCTTGTTAGTGGCTATGAATAACAGGGCCATTTGCCCGCATCTGTTGTTTTACCTTCCCAGGCACTGTATAACAACTTTTTTTACACTTATAAATAATTGAAATTAAATACAGGTACATTGATATTTTCAGAATTTCCCATATTTAGCATGACAAGGATCACGTCAACACATTGCTGTAAAGATCGCTGTATTTAAAGAGGTCTATATGCTGTTTGTTTGATAATTAAATGCATTAAAGTTGACAGTTTGTCAGTTATAATGCTATATTTTCTCACAATAAGCTAGCTTACAATTAAAAAAATTATCATCTTTTAGAAATATATGTATAAAAGTTCCCACAGGTAACAAGGACTTCCTGTGTATACTGTGTGTGTATAGGTATTAACACCATACACGATCAGCCTCTGGGAAAATCTTAGTCCCTCCCCTCACCAGAGAAAACTGTTCGGTTAAAAATATCAGCCTTTAAAACTGGTCGCTGAAGAGGCTACTAGTTCTAAAATGGTAGTGGCCCATACTGATTTTTAACAGCTGGTATTACAGGCACTTGTTTTGGTAATAAATTTTTCAACCCATAGTATGATGATAACACAAGGTATCCAACTCCATATTACATTGAGTACCCCCCCCCCCCCTTCCCCAAAATTGAACTTATTTACACTTTCAGAGGAAATGCACTGGCAAACTGTTTATTACCATTGTCCTCTACGATAATTTATCTACACAACTATCTATGACATGTTTGTCTTATTTATTAATTTTCTTTTATTTCCGTAAACAGTGTCAAAACTCTGCTCGCCGAGTGCAAAAGTCGACTTTCTTGTCTAGTCTAACTTTCAAGATAAATTTGTTGTAAAGTAAATAAAACTAATCTTTTAGTATATAATATAATTAAAACTAATTTGATATTGTATATTTAACAAGTAATCAAAACTAATTATATAAAAATATATATATATATTGTATACGCAGCTAGGTTTAGGACTCCCATACTTACATCAGCCTATATGCAGAGCTTCTGGAAATCGATTATGACGTCACAATGAAACTGAACAAATAAATCCTAAATACTAATGTTTTCTTTTTCATACACACTCAAATACAGTCTTTTCTCATAACATGATAAATATTGTAAACATGAATTGATGTGTAACTTATCATGTCATAATAACACTATTTGAATGTAGAATTTAAGCCATCTTGACCTTCCTGCACTGACTAAGATGACGTCACACCCTAGTTTGACAGACAGTTTCTCTGTACTTGAGGCGTAGATCAAGCTATTATTGTAGCTTGTAAATATCAAATTAAAATAAGTGTGATCTTACCAAAACTAAGTCATATTTTTGAATGTATTAATCAATATTTTATAGTCTAATTAGGCCTAAAAAAAATTGTTTGCTTCCTGTAACATTCCCAAAAAATCAAGGGTCGGTAGGTCGGGATTTTTTTTTTTTTTTTTTTGCTTATGGATAAGAGGGTCAAACATCCCCAGACTGAATTAACCAGGTGTTATATTTAAAGTGGACACCCAAAATGGCTGCTTAGCGGCAGAGAACGAAATTCTAAAAGTTGTGGGTGGAAATTGTTGTTACAATAATGATTACTCTTTATATTCAAGGTAAATGTTGACTAGGATGACATATTTTATATCTCAAATAAAGCTACAATTAATATTTTTTGAATAAATGGAATCAGCTGATTGATCGAACCAAAGAGCAAATGCAGATTTGGCAGAAAAAAAAATCCGCCGGGGGATAATTTGAATGGGTCGGTCGGGTTACAGGAAACAAACTTATTTTTTTTTTAGGCCTTAAATTGAAAATGTGTAGACCTCATATAAAGCCACAGTAAGGCACATTTATACATTAACAATCTAGAATAAAAGGCACAGCCCCTCGAAAATCTCAAAAGTTCAACGATATCTGCTTCTGAATCACTATAATTTATGAATTTTTATACGCCCGTCTCTAAAGGGAACGTATTATGTTATGGCGTTCATGTCCGTCTGTCTGTCTGTCTGTTAGCTTTTCTCGTGTCCGGCTCATAACTTTAATACTATTAGGCCTAGGATTATCAAACTTTGTCAGCTGATACTTCTTTGGTAGAAGGTGTGTCACACACTAAAAGTAGGTCGTTCTGACCTTTAATTAAGATGCTATGGCCAAATATGGAAAAATCCTGTCCGGCTCATAACTAGAAAACTATTAGACTTATAATCATCAAACTTGGCCAGTTTATGCATCTTAGGTAGAAGGTGTGTCGCGACCTATTTCAAGGTCACTGTGACCTTTAAGTGAAATTTTTAAAAAAAAAAAACTGTCTTTTTACTAATAAATTACACAATCCCAAAAAATGTAGAAGTGTTGCAGTATCCTTATTAAAAAGATGTTAAAATCAAGAAATACTTATTTTTTTTCATTATATACTTTACAGCAATCTATAACAAATATAATGTTACAAGAGAAATTCCACCTCTCCCATGGGTGTAATTATCAAGCACTGGTCAAGGAGAATTTTGATAACAGAAAATTGCATGTCAAATTAGCGAGAAATTAGTTTAGTGTGAGGAGCTAACTGGTAGAGCATCTCTGATCAAGCAGGTGTTATCTATATCTCTTGGGAATTGGGCAGAGGAATCAGCCATGTTGGATTAAATAGTTTTTTGTGGGCTAGCCTAACTTTTAAAATGAATTTGGTGAAAAGTAATTAAAACTAATTTGATACAATAATTGTATAATAAACTAATTTGATATTGTATAATAAACTAATAGATAGTCCCTACAAATCTAAGAGTCAAGCAGAAACCTTATTAAAAATGTTGCATCAAGATTACATTTTTTTTTTCTTTTTATAAATCTTTGTAACAAATTGAAAAAAAAAAATCTTTGTTTTCAAATTTAATTTCAGAATGACATAAATATTCATTTTAATTGCACTACAAAGCAGATAGCACAGATCCATTCATCCCTTGGGAGTAATGAGTGGACATGCATCCAGTTAAAGATTAATTAATGAGTTCAGTGTAGGAAGGCTAGCTGTTCTCAATCATTTCTGTTAGTGCATCTCTGATCAAGCAGTTCTTATCTGTATCCTTTGGGAATTAGACAGAAGAACTGCTGGTCAGTTTATAGCATATGTCATTTGATGGCCAGTCTTTTATTTTAAAATTAAATTGGTATAGATTAACATGATTAAGTTGTTAAGACTAAATTGATTTTGTTTAATATTATATTTTTATTTAATTTTTTGAAAATATCAACTAGTAAATTTCAGAGCAGCATGTCTCAAATATGAAAGATGTGTGTGTGTGTCACTGTGTGTGTGTGTGTGTGTGGGGGGGGGGGGGGGGGTGCAGATGGGCATTTGTCAAGCTCTAACACTACCAGTTGAGGATCTATAATGTAATATTTGTTATAATGCCTACACCACAGGAAATGTATAAACAAAAATTGTAAGAAATGGAAAAATCTTGGAAATCCTTGTATCAAGGTTGACTTGCACTCTAAATTGTTCGTGATAATTGAACAATATTTGACGGGCGTATCATGCTGGGGCACTTTATTATACAAAGGTAGTAACATCCCTACTACTTTGAAAAGTGCCAGGAGCTGGTTGTGCGCTGTTGCTTTTTTCCGTATTTTACCATTATTTCAATGCATATTATGTCAATGTAGGAAGTTTATCAAAAATTTTACATAATTCTCAGGCATGGGGAAGTTGCTCCCAGCACTTTTCAGGTTAAGGAATTTGTCTTAAAGAAAACAAAATTAATTTCATAGTGAAAAGATATCCGTATATCGTTGTACTTTATGATCTTTGTAGCCATACATATTTTTTGTAATTTTAAACATGTCACTTGACAAACAGCTGATGTAAGTAAAGTTGCTTTGGCCGAACTCGGCAAAGATCTCATATATATGAGGGTTGTCCCAGAAAACACAAACTTTTTGTATATTTCAGAAACTATTTGACCAGAACTAATAATTTTTTTGCAAGTTGTTGGAAAATGATATTTTCAGTATTATGACAAAATATTTTAGGCTTGTGATGTCATTAATATGTAAAAACGGCATTTAAAGGGTGTTAAATATCGGTGGTCTGCACACTGCAGTTTATTGACTTTTAAAAGTAGCATTGTCAATGAATTTTTCTTTATTACCAGGCTATACGGAAATATAATGTCACAAACTTTACCTCCATAAATACTCTCTGATCTAGCTGATATACTTGTGTATGAAAATTCATTAATTTGATATCATTAATGACAAATATATGACCTTATATGCCAGAACACTTTTAATTAGATATTGTTAAAAATGGTGACGTTTAGTGATAATTTGGAGCACAAATTATTAAGGAGCACTGTCTTTAAAACGGGATAGGACTCTTGCCCATACGATGAAAGAGATATTAGTGCTGGAAGAGACATTTTGTAGACCAAAAGAAATGAAGACAAACTGAAAGTCCTGAGCTTTACGTCATAAGCCTAAGCCAAGGCCATCGTTAAACAATGTGAACTGTTAGGTTTATTATCGGAATTGAGAAATTGTCTATTGAAAGAATTAATTCCACAATCTTTTAGCAACACACGCCGTATTTGAGATGCATTACGTGGTAAATAAAATAAAATTAAATACTGTGCCAAATTTATGCTTAAATAAACTAATTTTATCAGAAGCACATTTCCAGAAAAAATTCACAAAAATGTTGATCATGATCTATCATGCCTATTTTTAACTTTACAGTATTAGTGAAACAAAAGATATTGAAAATGTTCACGTATTTCTGGGACAACCCTCCTACATATGCAAATAGTAGAATTCCCATTAATCAAAACTCATGCTGTAAAAAAAAAATCAACACTATATTTATTTTCTCGGAATATTTTTAGGCGTATTATTTCCTGTGGGCATCCTTAACCTTGCTTCGTTATATTTTTTATTTGGATTTTTATATCTTTACAACAAATTGCAGAGTGTCATGTCTCACTAGGATGACAATTTTTTAGAGTAAAGAATAACATAATTTTCTTGCACTCTAAAATGTGTACGATAATTGAACAATATCATACAGTGGCAGGGATTTTTATTACTCTTGCAAATTGTATGAAACAAAAATTATTTTTGGAAAAATACATTGTGATTCATATATTGTGACTACTATATTGTGATTGTTGCATAAAACCTGTATTGTTCCTGCAGTCCTAATATTTCATCATATATGTTATTATGTTTATATGTAACTTTAAACTTTTTATTTATGGTTTTCATTATCATTTTACAAGCATTGATGCATCTGACAGCTTCCAAAGGCTTGGAAAGTAGGTTAATGATGCAGCTATAGACAACCCCATCTTATGCATGTTATGAGAAGTTAAAAGTGTTTAACAACTACTCCAAGCTTTTTCTTTGCAAGAAGGGATATTGATAGAGGGAAGGAGATCAGATATGACTATGGTGATCCCATGCCCAATGGACAATCTTCCTTGGAGTTCATCACTCATCAGGTAAATATTTAGAATAATGGATTTTCAAATTTGATACGCTGCATCCTCTTTGTAGTGCATTTTTTTTTTTCAATGTTCTTGAGAGGTCAAGAGATGAAAAATGTTTTACCCAACAGTGTTCCAAGTCACACTTACTTTCAGGTCACTAAATGAGGACCTAAAAAAAATTTTGGCCACCATTTCAGAATATTTCACTTGCCATAATGAAAATATTTTGTGAATAACACTAGGAAAACAAGGAACTAGCACCCTGTATGTTTTATGTCTTTACTAAATCAAAGATGTAAGGTATTACTGTGACTATAAACAATTTGCTAGGTTTAAGGAAATATTTTTATTAATACAACCACCCGTATGGTTGTACAGTACAAAGAGGAACACAAGAAGACTGATCCTAGAATTAAAATTTATTCAAAAGAAAATACCAAGTTTGACACTTATTGAGACAGGACTTTGCCAGCTGTTTGTCATGTTTACTTATTATTACATAGTACGTACCTAACCCATTAAACAGTCATTATTAATGCTGCCAAAACACTTAATTAGTTGTAATATGCAAGCAATTGACCAAATGTTTCAATAACAAGGTCAGGTTCTAAAAAGTTTATGACGTTTGGATGCCATTCTGTCAGGGACGTATAGTATAGGTCCGTGGTTCCATCAAACTGTATAAGTAGTCACTATTAAAGCATGCTGTCATAACATTACAACTTGATGATTAATGATTTTTTTTGCGGACAAACAGACAGATGGATGCACAGGGCAAAAACTATATACCCCCGAATCTACGATTACAAGGGCACTAAAATTGATGTTCAGCAGATGCAAGGTTCTGAAGTTTACATGACGTACATTGAAATATATTAATTTGTGAACTTTTTTTCCAAGAATAGGAAAATAGCAATTGGTGAAAATGATGAATTAAGTAAATTGATGGGGAAAAAACAACATCTTTTTGTGATCCATATTTTAGATAAGACAAAAAAAAAATAGTCTTGTTTCCTGCTACCAGCCTGAAAAAAAAATAGGGTAGGTAGGTAGGAAAATTATTTTATTGTATATTTTCATTTTATTTTTTTTTTCGACAACATTTTTTGGATATGAACTAATATTGTCTTTTAAAATCAAATTTCATGTCTTTTGACTAAACTCAAGTGGTATTCTATGAAAGTCCACATTTAAAACAAGAATTGTGGAACTAAATAGTAAATATTGGAGTGAAAATATCAAAACGAGAGTTGTTGGAGACAAGCTTGTTTTTCCCAATGGGTCTGTTTACCGAGATAAAGTAAATACACCAAAAGCAGAAGAAATTTTACAAATTGACCAGAATGAACAGCAGAAGCTAGAGGAAATCAAAGTTAAACGCGCCAACACTCTCTCAGAATCAGGAAATCAAATTAGCACAGCTGCAGTTGAGGTAGAGACATATGCAAAAGTTCGAAACTTCTATAGGAAAATTTCCATGGATCCAGTTTATGGGCGTGCCAATCACAATATACTGGTATACCATTTTAAAGACAATTCTGGGACTATACATGACCGATACTGTGATGACGGGAATTTGGAGCTGGAAGGAAAATGCTTAAAATTCTGCAAGATCAAAACTTGACAAATGTGTCCGTTGTGATATCGCACATGATGGGAAAGCATCTTGGTCCGAAACGCTTCGATATAATGGAAAAAGCGTTATTTGACACCCTCAAAGAACTTTTGTAGACTAAAAGTGTGTTCAGGTGTCCGCAATACAATTTTTTTTAAAAACAGTTTGTTGTAGAACTAGTTTTTGCATTTTCTTTTTCCCGGATTGAGCAATTCTGCTCTGAATCCGTTTCTTATTTATAGTGTAAATTTCGGGAAAAATAGGTTTATGTTCGTTCCCGATTCTTCAATTACCGACCATAGAAGTGTTTCCGTTATTAAACTGGCACTGAACTTTTAAAGGTAAACAAATAAAAATAAATACTCTGATTATCGATCTTTAAAACTCTTTCAACTATGCATTTGCAACTTTGTTTCGTACAGGTACATACTTTTTTCTTTCTTTTCTTTTTGTTTTGTTTATACAGTCTTTTATCTTTTTTGTTTACATTTGTGAGTGAATGTGTGCATGTTTATGAGAGAATACAATAGTCTTGTAGTTGAATATTTCGTTTGGAGGCTGCCTAAGTTTTACAGATCAGTTTTCGTTGATGAGTGATAATATAAAAATTGTAACGGTGAACTGCCAAGGTCTAGCGACTTCTCAGAAACGACAGGATGTCCTTAACTATTATAGAAAAAAGTGTTACTCTATTTTATGTCTGCAAGATACACATTTTACCTATGAAACTGAACCATTTGTAGAAGCTCAGTGGGGTTATAAGTGCTATTTTAGTTCATATAAATCTAATTCACGAGGAGTAAGTATTCTTTTTAACAACAATTTTGAATTTAAAATCCACAGAGATAAGAGAGATAAGGAAGGAAATTTAATTGCTCTTGATATTACCATTGAAGACAATAGGTTAACCCTGGTAAATGTATATGGACCAAATACTGACTGTCCGGAATTTTATGAAAAGATTCGAGATATTTTTCTAGAATTTGACAACGAATATTTTGTACTATGCGGTGATTTAAATCTTGCTCTTAATCCAGAAGTAGATACATATAATTATGCAAATGTTAATAATCCAATGGCTCGCGAAAAATTGATAGAAGTTATGGAAGATTTACAAATGATTGATTATTACAGGATTTTAAATCCAGAAAAGAAAGTGTTCACATGGAGGAAAAAAAACCCTGTCAAACAAGGCCGTTTAGATTATATTTTAATATCTGAAGGTCTATCTAATGTTGTTGAAGAATTCACTGTTAAACCAGGGTACAGGTCTGATCATTCTGTTGTTTTAGAATTAAAATTCAATCCCTTCATTAAAGGTCGTGGTCTATGGAAGTTTAATAATAGTTTACTGAATGACAAGGTATATGTTGAAAAAGTGAAGCAAACTATAGAAAGGGTTAGGGGTCAATATTTACAAAACATAAATGACATTGAAAGAAATGCTATTCTTGTTGAAAGTATGGATGACCGTTTATTCCTTGAAATTCTTCTTATGGAAATACGGGGAATAACTATTTCTTATTCTTCATTTAAGAAAAATGAGAGAGAGGGGTTAGAAAAATCCCTATTAGGAGAAATAGAAAGATTGGAAACAAATAATGATAATTATAATAATACAGATATTTTGGAAGATAAAAAAGCTACCCTTGAAAATTTAAGAAAAGTTAAAATGCAAGGCCATTTAATTAGATCACGTGCTCGGTGGGTAGAAGAGGGTGAAAAACCAACAAAATATTTTTGCAATTTAGAATCAAGAAACTATATTAATAAAATTATTAAAAGGGTTGAGATAGATGAACAACATACTGTTTATGATCAATTTGAAATTTTAAACCAAGTTAAATCTTTCTATGAAGATCTGTATTCAAATAAAGAGTCAGAATGTATTGATATGGATTTAACTGATATTATTGATCCAGCTGAAGTTAAAAAACTTGACGAGATGACTTCTAATAGTCTTGAGAATGATATAGAAGAAAGTGAAGTTTTAAATGTACTTAAGAATATGAAAAATAATAAGTCACCAGGAAGTGATGGTTTTACTGCTGAGTTTTTCAAATTCTTTTGGATAGATTTGAAATGTTATATTTTAAATGCAATTAATTGTATTTTTTCAAAGAAAGAACTTCCAATTTCTCAAAGACTTGGGATTATCTCCTGTATACCCAAAGGTGATAAACCAAGACAGTTTTTAAAAAATTGGCGTCCAATTACTTTATTAAATGTCTTGTATAAACTTATATCTGGATGTTTAAGTTGTAGAATAAAGTCAGCTACTCTAGAATTTCTTATTTCTGATACACAAACAGGTTTCATTAAAGGTAGATATATAGGGGAAAATACCAGATTTATTTATGACTTAATGTCTTACACAGAGTTAAATAATATTCCTGGTCTGTTGATGCTAATTGATTTTGAGAAAGCATTTGACTCAATTTCATGGCCCTTTCTGTATAAAGTTTTAAAGTATTTTGGTTTTGGAAAGAACATTATCGACTGGATTAAGATCCTTAATACAAATTTTAAAGTTTCAGTTTTACAATGTGGATTTTTATCAGAACAATTTTCTATTCAAAGAGGTTGTAGGCAAGGAGATCCTGTTGCTCCCTATTTGTTTCTCCTTTGTGCTGAAATTTTGGCTATTCTCATAAAACAAAACAGAGATATAAAAGGTATAATAGTAAATGAAAAAGAATACAAAATCTCTCAATATGCAGATGATACCTCGCTTGCCCTTGATGGTTCACCAAAATCTTTGTTTGCTGCTCTTGATACATTGGATTTATTTTCACAAATATCTGGTTTAAAGATAAACAGTTCAAAGACAAAAATTATTTGGATTGGCTCGAAAAAATTTTCATGTCAAGTTTATCATCATTCAAGATGGAAACTAGATTGGGGATCCACAACTTTTAATTTGCTTGGTATAACTTTTTCTGTAGAGCTAGAAAATATTATTGACATAAATTATAAACTTATTTTACCAAAAATTAAATCAATGATACAACAATGGAAAAGACGAATACTTACACCTATTGGTCGCGTCACCGTTGTAAAAACGCTCATTTTACCAAAACTTACTCATTTATTTATTTCCCTTCCTACCCCTAGCTATGATAAAATATCTTTATTGTGTAAAGACCTTTTTGAATTCATATGGAAATCAAAAATTGATAGAGTTAAAAGAGATATAGTCACTCAAGATTATTTATCTGGAGGATTAAAGATGTTAAATGTTGATTACTTCATAAAATCATTGAAATGTACATGGGTCAAAAGATTGGTAACAGAAAGTAATAAGCCATGGCTAGACATATTTTTTGGAATTAATGGTAATGATGCTGTAAACAAATTTATGGATTTCGGTGATGCTTTTATTTTAAATAGTCTAATACCTCAAAACAATATTTTCTGGTTTGATGTTTTTACTTCATGGTTACATGTTCTGAAGAATGTAGATCAGGATGTTCATATTGAATACAAGGCTTGTAATATTCCTATATGGTATAATTCAAATATTAAGGTAGATAATAAGAGTATTTTTATAGAAAATTGGTATAAAAGTGGAGTTAAAAATATTGGAGATTTTTTGTCAGAAGATTGTAAATTTTTATCAAAATCTGCCTTCCAAGAAAAATTCAGTATTTCCAATGTAAGCTTAATGCAGTATAATAGCACAGTTTCTGCCATTTCTAAATTTTAAAGAATATGTCAATAGATAGACTGAGTTTGAAAAACATTTTCAACCTAATTTACCTTTTTATTTTGAAAATATTTTTCACTATGAAAAATGTACAAAGAAAATTTACAATTATATAAACAAAAATGATATAATTCCTACAGCAATTCCAAAGTGGAATCAAGACTTATCTCCCTATGGAGTGGCAGATATTTGTATTAAAGATGTTTTTAAGGTTTGTTTTAAGACTAACCTCCGATTCTTCTGTACAGTGGCTACAATATAGAATTCTACATAGGATCCTCCCTGTAGATTCTTATCTTAAGAAAATTAATATAAAATCTACTGACATTTGTAAGTTCTGTGCTCAGGAAACTGAAACTTTACTGCATGTATTTGTCAGTTGTGATCATATTGTATCTTTATGGAGGAACTTGAGTTTACATATATACAGAACAATTTCAAAAAGAGTTGGATTCAATGTCCAAAATATTATCCTAGGTGAATTACCACTTACTAAGGACAACAGAATTGAAAACTTTATGATACTATATACAAAACAATATATTTTTTCATGTTTACTACAACCAAAAATACCTTCATTTACTGGTTTACTGAATTATTTGAAAATGAAACACAATATTGAAAGATGTATGTCTATTAGTAACTCAAAACTGTTTTATTTTGAAGAACAATGGATTTTGTTGAAAAAATATTTTTGAACAAATGTAAGATAATTTGACAAGTTTTTGATATTTAGTTTATGATAGAAACAATTGTTGATAAGCTGATTACTATGAAGCAACCTCCATATTAATTTAAAAGGCAAATGGATGTATGAATGGGTGTGTGAGTGCTAAATATCCATTGTAATTTTGCTGCTAATTTAACTTGATTTTGTATGTTATACAATGGATAATAAAAAAAAAAAAAAAAAAAAGAATTTCATGAAATGCTTGTTTTGTGTTAACACAGAAAACGATTATGGTGACAGAATGATGAAATTCCGGAAATTCGAGATTTTTTTCTTCCAAAATTTAAAAAAAAACAAGACTATTATTTTTTTTGGCCTAAATAAAGTAAATTATTGAAAATAATACCTCTAAGACAAGGTTAGAGTGATTATTATTATTGGATTACAAGATCACCTTGATATGAAATATATGGAGATAACAAACAGTATTCAAGCTCAAAAGTCCATTATACAATAAAAAATAGGAGCAGAGCAAACACGGACCTCCAAACATCAGAGGTGGGATCAGGTGCCATGGAGGAGTGAGCATCCCCTGCCGACCGGTCACACCCGCCGTGTGCTCCTTGTCATGATTGGGAAATAACGGAAAAATCCGTCGACAATTCAGTGTGTAAATAATGGTCAAACAATTAGTATGAAAAACGTCAGTCAGCATTTGACTCAATGATAAATTGTATTTGCTGACAAGGTCATTGTATCGACCATAGAACTTATGAAATGATGACTTTAAATGAGACAGCTGATATTTGATTATATGTACAGGATCACCTCTTTGCCTCATGCTATAATAAATATATTTACCTAGGTTACACATATCCTTAAAGTTCTTAGTATTGAACAATTGCAGTAATTTATACGTATGGATGTTTTTTTAAAAAGAAATAATTTGCATTGATAATCTCGATAAACAGGACATACTAGTAGAAAGTGATATTCATCCTCGACACAAGTATGACACAAAAAAACATTTCCAGTGGGATCTGTTTGCTTTATTATATCCAGTTTCAAAAGCTAAAAGGTGTGAAGATAATCTTAACTTTGATATACATTTTTGAAACTTAGTCAGAATTGAATTTCTTAAATAATACGGTAGGTAAAACCCATCAAGTAGATATTTATAGAAAGAACATTTCTGCGAACTTTGAAGTTTAGTATATTTCTTGTTTAGCCTGATCCAAGATCCTTTGATAAATTGTCATAATGGTCCTTACAATTAGGGTCTACCTAATAGGACTTCTCAGTTGATTGTACAATTTACACCTGGGTGACCATTGCCCTTGCTGTTTAGTGTTATATAAAAAAACAATTAGTTTGTTTGATACTTTTTATTAATTTATTTTATGTTAAAAACATTTATTTAATAGCATATTAAATTTCTATTCAAAATGCATCGAAATAGCTTACATTAAAGGTATCTGAATGTAGTTGCAGGCATAAATATAATCACAATTAATTTTGTTTTGCACATATATTATAGGAAGCATTTTGGAGGCAAACCCTGTTGCAGCATTTCTACATGTTCCACAGATTGTACAGACTAGTCAGGACCTTGTAAATTCACATGTTCAACAGCTTAGGCAATTTAGTACAGGTATGTGTAACTCTTCTGAAATATAGGAGGAAATTTCAATACAAGACTTGTAGCATAACTTATATTACATTGTCAGTTCTTCTTTGCATGTTCCTTAGAGTGGATTATTGAGGCAGACCCTGATGGAAAACTTGCACATGTTCCACAAACCAGTGAAGACCATTTTGCAGAATATAAACTTTTTCCGCAGATAAGCCAAGACCCTAATGGTGTTCATGTGTGTGTGGTTAATTATTTGCTCTGAAGCTGATATGTGGACTGAATATAAAACTGTCTTTTTCTACAGTTAAGTCCATCTTAATCTGAAAATACTACCGGTACATTTTGAATTATGCTTTATTATGCAGAAAAAAAAATAATTAGTTTCAAATATGAAAAGTCTGTTGATACACTGCTTTGCAATTCCAAAAGTGATAATGTGATAAGTTTTGATGTGAATATGTGACATGTGCCATTATCAATTTTCATAAATAAAATCAAATACAAAGGCCATTCCAATTTAATGTTTTGCTTGTCGGACCCGCACGCTCTTATTTGAACAAAGCTATACAAATAATATTAATTTAAATCTCCTGCACCTGGGAAATTCTGTGCCAGTTTCTGTTTTATTTCCGCTCTATTTTTGATAATTTAAATCTGTTTACTCTACAAATCAGAAAAAAGTAGAAAAAATATAATTGTCACTCAATTGTTTTCATGTTATGCCTAAAAATTTTGCGTACAAAAAAGTAATAATATTATTATTTAATCTCTTGCCCGCTCTTACTTTTTTCACCAGATGTGCTACGAACAAGAAATTAAATTCGCGTGGTGAAATTATGTTTTATTAAAACTCATTTAAGGAATAACTGTCTTATTTTTTGGATTCATGATGTGATCAATCGAGTGGCTTGCGTGATAAATTGCATAAACGCCGAAGGCGTTTATGCATAAAATTATCACGCAAGCCAATCGATTGATCATCGTCATGAATCCAAAAAATCTGACAGTTATTCCTAATATTTACATGCTCCTGATTCTGCAAATTCCCATGCTAATAGCCCCGCTTCTGTCTCTATTTGTCCCGCCCCGCACGTGATTTTTTTTTAACCGCGCCTATCGATGAACTAGTAGATTTATGTAGAAATAAAGTATTTTTACAATTTGTAATTTTATCTCGGACAAAGACATTGGAAATGTAAATATTTATGCAATAAATGATAAATAAAGACTAAACAGTCATGTTCACAAGCCAGAGGTGATAAAATATATATCTATTCTATAGGAAAAAAAGAATTATAAAGTGACATCAATTTTTCAAGTAATGTCTGTCTAGAACCTGTACATCAGATTTCGTATTTTGTGTGATTTTTTGAAGGATTTTTACACTAACAAAGTTAATAAAATCAAATCTTAGTTCTAAAATTTAATAATTTATTTTTAGATTGTCAAAATGCTTGTTAATTATAGTATCAAAGCTTAAATTGTATATCAATATTCTCCAGGAGGTAAATATTTCTATATATTGGTATATTGGTTGTCCCATAGTTTGTGTATAGTTTGTGGGTCATTGTCATATCGGTTCAACTTCTTGGATTGTGGGTCACGGTTATTTATTGTTCTAACATTTTACAATTTTTTTTCTGTAGTTTGTTGATGTATTTTTGTATCATTTGTGTATATGCATACATGTATATGTGGTTTGTGGATTACTGTCATATTTACATGCATGTGTCTGTTCATGGTGGATTGTGGGTCACTGTCATAGATTGTTTGTTCTTACATTTTTCCTGTAGTTTGTTCATGACTTTTTTATGTCTTTGTGTATAGACATTTGTGTATATGCATACATATATATGAAAATGTTCATGGTTTGTTGATCACTGTCATGTAAATAAGTGTTTGTGTCTGTTCATGGGTTGTGGGTCACTGTCATATATTGTTTGTTCTATCATTTTTCCTGTAGTTTGTTCATGACTTTTTGTGTCTTTGAGTTAAGACATTTGTGTATAGGCATACATATATATAAAAATGTTCATAGTTTGTGGATCACTGTCATATATATACATGTATGTGTCTGTTCATGGATTGTGGGTCACTGTCATAGATTGTTTGTTCTATCATGGATTGTAGGTCATTGTCATAGGTTGTTTGTTCTAATATTTTGCCTGTAGTTTGTTCATGACTTTTTGTGCCTTTGAGTAAAGACATTTGTGTATATGCATACATATATATAAAATGTTTATGGTTTGTTGATCACTGTCATATATAAGTGTTTGTGTCTGTTCATGGATTGTGGGTCACTGTCATATATTGTTTGTTCTATCATTTTTCCTGTAGTTTGTTCATGACTTTTTGTGTCCTCGAGTAAAGACATTTGTGTATATGCATACATATATGAAAAGTTCATAGTTTGTGGATCACTGTCATATATATACATGTATGAGTCTGTTCATGGATTGTGGGTCACTGTCATAGATTGTTTGTTCTATCATGGATTGTAGGTCATTGTCGTAGGTTGTTTGTTCTCATATTTTGCCTGTAGTTTGTTCATGACTTTTTTTGTGTCTTTGAGTTAAGACAGTTGTGTACATGAATACATATATATGAAAATGTTCATGGTTTGTTGATCACTGTCATATATAAGTGTTTGTGTCTGTTCATGGGTTGTGGGTCACTGTCATATATTGTTTGTTCTATCATTTTTCCTGTAGTTTGTTCATGACTTTTTGTGCCTTTGAGTAAAGACATTTGTGTATATGCATACATATAATAATTATATGAAAATGTTCATGCTTTGTTGAACACTGTCATATATACGTGTATGTGTCTGTTCATGGATTGTGGGTCACTGTCATAGAATGTTTGTTCAAAACTTTGTAGAAGTTTGGTTATGGCAGTTCAATTATGCATGTGATTATGGTTTCTTGATCACTGAGTAATCATTACTTTCATAGAATGTGATTCACTGTTTTAAGATTTTTTGTATTAGAATGTGTCTGATTATGGTTTTTGGATCAGTATCAGTTTAAATATATGATATAGATATTTGTCTGTTCGTGTTTGTGGGTCACTGTTGTAAAGTACTTGATTGTGAATACTATTATGTGTGTTTTCCTCACTTTGAGAAATAAATACATAATCTTTAACTGATAAAAGTGTTACCTTATCAGTGTTATCTTACCCCTGCAAATGAAGAGCCTGGGCCTAAAATAATTTTTTTCAGCTGCCTAGTGACCCACTGAAAATGCACCTGACCCAAACTTTTTCCAGCTATTTTGTATTATTTTTTTTAAGCTTCAAGCTTTCAGGATAGTGAAACTGCAAGTTTCATTTTCGATTTTTGGTATTATCAATCAGCGACTTATAACAAGAGGAGCTTATGTTAAGTAAGCCTATTTTTGTTAGTTAAAACATATTTGAAAACTACATTTTTTTAGAAAAATAAAAAAAATACCGCCCATTCTAAAAATTTAGGTTGACAACTGCAAACCAAGAATTTTTTAAGCTTGGCCCTGGTATATAGGAATTGCCTTGTCTGTCTGTTTATGTTATGAGGAGGGATTGCCATGTCATGGTCGTAACTTTGAAAAAAGCATTTACATGGCTTCTGCTTATATCTTACACAGAGATGGACATGACCATGGGTTTGTCATGACCTTGACCTGGTATTACTTGAACACAGTCTCCAGAGAAAATATTTTGTGTTATGACTTTTATCAGGTATTATTTAGACAAGGTCACAAGGAGAAAAATGTTGGAATTCTGGTGTGAGCCATAGCTGTATCAGAGAGAAGAATCTAACTAGACACAGAGTTTACTTAAAACCTAATGCTGTGTCAATCAGATCATTTTCATTTGATAAGGGTCGGGGTGGGATATGATAAACTGTGTGTGGGCTATTTTTGTGTTACAGAAATTTAAGAATCTTATGGACACCATAGTTGCTTGTGATTTGAGGGTTAGTCCTGCACCTGACACGAGTCAACTAGACGTGCAGAACGTCAGTTTGGGGAATTGTATGGGGGTCATCAACTTTTTTCAAATTGTATTTTTTTTTTATCATAATATTCTGAATTCTATTGTCTCTATATTTTTTTAGAGATTTTTTTTTGAAAGGGGAAAAATCATGAAATTCAATTGATTTCTTTGACTACTTTAGTTAATTTTCTACTTAGTTATTAAAGTAGTCAAAGAAATCAATTGAATTTCATGATTTTTTCCCCTTTCAAAAGAAAAAATCTTCAAAATAATATAGAGACAATAGAATTCAGAATACGGTAGATGTAGGGGTCGAAATGTGACAGAGTATCGCATTTGTCTTAAGGAAAAGGGAGCAATTATGATTTTTCCATGCCGTGAAAATTTCTCTCTCTCTCTCTCATATTCATCCATCTAACTATTGAGAACATGTACGAAACAATGGTTGACTCATTCATTTAATAGCAAGAAAAACAAACCTTAGTCCTCAGGGCTCTAATTGGCGACTAATTTAGTCGCCGTGGGGCTTAAAATATTTGATTGACGCCTAAAATTTTCTACAAGTCGCGAAATTGGCGACCATTATAAACTGACTTGGCGATTCTCAAATTTCGGAACTATCAACATTTTCAACCTTTCTTTCTGAAGAGGAGAAAAGATAATTCAAATTTAGCAATGGGCATGCCTTGCGTTTTCTTTGTCAACTTGTTTGTTGTTCTTTTAGTCACGCACTTGTGAACGAAATTTCGCATCGCATCAGTGCACATACTGCTCATGTCATGTAAAAAAATAATCCTTAGATTTGTCTTAAGACGTGTCTAAGGATATTTTTTAGGACATACATGTATCTTAGGAATATCTTAAGATACGTCTTAGTGTGTAAACCAAAAACGTCATAGGAATATCTTAAGGTCAGACGACGCGTTTCTCAAAAATATATAATTTTTCCCAAGAATTTGCCATTGAAGTATTGCTACTTAAACAAGTTTCCTCACCAAAAATTGAGGTACCCTATCAGGCATTTGGGCAAGATACCAGAGGGTGATATTTCCTATATAATCCATATAGGTAATCTTTTGAATTGCCAATGTTACAATTACTGGTGTACTTATTTTTAAACATATTGAAAACAATTAAGAAATCACAAGACAATGACAATTATGAATAATTTTTGATATAATACCAAGGTATACAATACAAAACATATAATTGAGTAACGTGTCGTCTGGCCTTAAGTAAAGATGTCTGTAGTTCAATTCTAAGCATTTATCTTTTTTCCTTTTTTTTTTTTTTTTTTTTTTTTTGAAAACAAGTGTTTCATTAAAATTCCTATTTCCAGATTCCATCATAAGCATGTGCAGATGATCAGGAGGGGGAGGGGTGCTCATGGAGTCACCCCGAGTTTTGAATCAGACTTTTTGATGAGCGTGTCCCCTCCCCCATTGGAAAAAATGCTTGGATTCACGATTGATACCCGAGGTTTTACAATGTAAAAGGTCAGGGGGCATATTAAAAGTAGCACATGACTGCAT